AAAAGATAATTCGATTATACTTACAGATCATAATTAATTATTTAAAATTAATAACAAACATGCTATAGAATGTACGTCACATCAGCCAATATATATATACAGCGTGTCGTTACAAAGGCGACAATAAATGAATACACGTCTAACGCTACTTGCCAATAATCATAAAAAAATATTATCGTTAAAAAAATACATAATTAAAAAATATATTTTTCAAACAAATTAATTAAGTAAAAAAGAAACAAAATTTGTAACTTACTATGCAACTACAACTGATTGATTCATACATTCAGAGACTTTTTCATTCGTTGCCACAGCGTCGCATTACAAGCCTCTCCTTCTAAAAGTACGTTTTGTCTCTTTTAAATTCATTCAACCCATTCAAAATGCATTGTGACCTTTACAAATGAACTTTACGTTACAATTTTATACGTAAGGGTGTTCTAAAATTGTTTGTTTTCGAAAATTTAATAACTCGGTAAATATTGATGTTTAAAGAATGTAAATTTTTAATACAAATTTTTAAAGTTATCCTCTATATGTGTGTTCATTTATTGTCGCAATTGTAAAGACACGCTGTATAACAATATTCAAAAATGCTTAAATTGAAGAACGAGTTTCCGCAAATACTTTAGAAAGACAGATTTCATTTGCCTTTTGAAGCCTCTCTGATTTTAGTTTGAATTATGTTTTCAGATACCGAATAAAGGTTTGTATTATTTCTCATTACAGTGAAAATCATTTAAGTAAGCACTATTTTATTAAAATCATTAAGTGAACGACGTTGTACGAATTGCATCCTGCTGACAAGAAAACTGCGATGAGTTTTATAATTACGAGAGAACACTAGCTAGGAAGGAACACCTAACTGCTGAACAACAAGAAATTCATAATCCTCCCCGAGTGACAGTAGCGGTAGGGCTTGCCCTACCGCTACCGCTACTTCATTTCCAAACACTGATGAAAATTAAAGTTCAAAACGAAATAAAAGGACTACTTCTATAACCGTGCCTCTATAAAACATTCTACAGTTCACAGAGAAAGATTAATCAGCTTTTTCTAAACATGAGAGATGTCAAATCTACAACCTACAAGATCCTGAATTACATAAATGTAAATGTGATCCTTGCTACGCTACGCAACTCACCAAAGAATACCATTCAAACCCGAATAAAAGAACATTTATATAGTGTAAACCACCAACGGTATTAGACCGCCTAATAATTACGTCACATTTAACAAACCTTATTTCCTAACAAAATAACACCTATACATCTAAAGAATGATTTTTTCGATGCTCGAAAACTCTAAAATGCTCGAGGTCTACAATCTTGCGGAAAATACTATAATATGAGAGATTTATTTAACAAACATTTTGCATTTACCAGACTCAAAATAAATAATGAAAAGGTTTATAGTAGCAATTCAAATATGACCCTGACCCCATGAAGCTTAACTAATTCAGTGACGATTTACATGTTTTATTATTTTCTTTATCTATTTCTTTTATTATTTATATCTTTACGTGATACCTCCCAGCCCGGCCCTCTCGGGCACCCTCGAATCGGAATGCTAAACGCGTTTTGAGTGACAGCCCAAGCCGAGGTCCCCTCTCGGGGACCCTTGAGCCTAGTCACTCCATGGAGCGTCCGCCAAAGCGCCCTAAGAGCTTGGCCGCCTCCCAAATCGGTGAAACTAATAGCATGACGGCCCGAGCCGAAGCTCCCTTTGGAGGCCTCCAGCTTAGTCACCATAACGCGTAATAATAATACGCCGAGGTTCAGGCTAGGCGCCCCGAGCGCCCGGCCACCTCAAGCCCGTCGGATCTGTAAAGGCCCCTATGGCCAACAGTGGCACATGCAGCCCAAAAAAAAGCGTTCTAACAGCACGAGAACGCAGAGTTCCATTTTTATCCATTTAACACAGTAACTAAATCGGACTTCCAGCAAAAAAAAACGTGATATACCAACAACAACTAATTTCTTATATGTATAACGTATGTAAATGACATAGTGAATCATTCGGTGCAATGCCAGCCTGGTCCAATGCCAAATCTATATAAAGTTTCACTTCATAAGAAACGCGTTCAAGAGCCAAATGCAATGAAATATCGTCTAAGGGAATAGATGAGTCAAAATCTGCAAATCGACAGGGGTAAAATAAAGGAAATAAGATAAAGTAATAAAATATATTAAATGCACACATTCTGACTGATAGAACAAATTACGATTGATATTACTAAAGGCAAATCAAAGGTCAAATCTATACCCCGTATAACAACATCCATTGACGCCCGCATACATCAATAAACCTTGATTGAGAACTTGAAACTTCCCGAAGACGGGAGTACTCCGTAAACTTAATGGATTTTAATACCTACCTTTTGGAATGAATTAAAGCAAAAGCTCCCTGACTCTTGACAGAAAATTTGATCAATTTGGAATATAATATGAAAAATATCACGAGTGCAATTTTGGAGTTACAATATAATATACAATATCACATACACTAATACTGAATATGCAGACTTTTGTGGCAATATCCACCAACGTGTTCGTTTAGTTTCGTTTTTTGTCTTTCTTGTTGATTTTTTTTGTTAAACACTACAAGAGCCCGTCTATAGTATAAATGTTAATATTAGATATCGCTCTTCTCTATTGTATGATATTTTATTTGTATTACATAAGATATAGAAAAAAATTCAAAATTGCCTAATTCAATATTACACGAACTTTTCACTTTTAAGCCGCAAGTAAACGTCTCTTTACTTTTCTGTTTTCGTAATAAATTACAGCTAAATGAAAACAGCAGACGGTGTATACATTGAACTTCATGGAGATTGAATAATTTTCCTACCTTGCTTTATAAGTAGCTATATTAAAAGAGGGAATTTACTCCGTTGTAACGTAAACAGATGCTACAAAAAGGTCTTTTTCATAGAAAAAATGTATTACACCTATGATTAGAAATATACGATATGATTATAATATCACCGACGAAGATCTGTCAGTACAAAATTCCCTAAACAAACACATATACATATACATACATATACATACATATACATACATATACATACATATACATACATATACATATACATACATATACATACATATACATACATATACATACATATACATACATATACATAATATCGATCGGATTTGCTACTGGGGGAGGGTAAGGCGCCCGTAATCGCCCGTACAATACACGTAGGTGTATTGACGTAGAAGAGGTAATGTTGAACTTTATGAAAACAATTTTGAGTTAGTCTCAGTGGTCGGGGTTCCCCAAACATTTTCACGTCGTGAAAACGTATGTTGATCGTTCATTCAATTATATATAGTTATGTTAAAACGTTAAATAATGGTGCTATATGAAAATTTATACACATATATAAAACACAAATTTTCGGATTTTCCAGGTAGTATTATAAAATAAAACGATGAAACAAAAAAATGTATATCACGATAATCTCCATGATAGAATTTTCCCAAAAAATAAGTTTCAATCAACGTCTTATTAGTGAAACATATATGTACCTAAAACAAAAATCAATCAAAATTATTGTTATAATGTTATAGTGTAATAATCAATCAACAAAACTTTTAATTTAATTAAATTAAACATTTAATTACACGCAAGATCTAGTCGAATGGCATTCAAAACGAAAGGTCTCTATGTCACATAAATTTTTAAAGATAATTTTATAATAATAATTAGTGAGTTATTTACATAATTCAGTGTTTTTGATATTTTCAAAAAAAACCTTAAAAATCATTGAATAAAACACCCAAGTATCGTACAAATACTATAGACGGTTTGTCCCCTTTTTTTAGATTATCATAAAAAACAAAAACTAATTAAGTTCAGCCATATTACATTACGTTAACGAACATTCCTGCGTAATATTGTTAATTTGTTTATATTCCACTATATAAATCTACACTTCCTGGAATTATCTAAAATGCTTTTGTCCGGTAAACGGGTTCCGTGAATGCAAAATGTAGGTAACACGGATGATGCGTAAATATTGAAGCAATATTTCTACAGCACGTGCAACGTTATAAGACGGAAGATAAATTCATTGTTTTCAGAGTTACCATTTTTCCTTTACACAATAACGACTTGACTATTCTCCTCTTATTTATGATAAAACGATTAAAAATTTGCAATAATAGTTCTTAATGCACCTCTGCAATGCTGCCAGGAATCGAACTTGCGTCTCCGGTAAAACACGCCAAGGCGGTTATAGGCGGATAAAAGGCAAGATTAGTTTTTTTAGCTGTAGTGCGGTAATACAATGTCTACTATATAAATTACTTATACAGAAAAAAAACGGAATACATTAAAAACCACGCATCGAATTTTTATTGTGTAAGGAACAAACTTACAAGGCAACAAATTTAAAAAGTTACTGAAGTTTCTAACGTTGTACGTTATCTTTTATTTTTAGCTTTCGTGATAATTATTAAGAACTGTTCCTTATTCTAAGCATCAAAAGCACAAATGTTTATGCTTCGTGTTTCCTTTCTTATTTAGTCGACAACTTTACTTTCGCACTTGCCTGATGCCAGAAGAATTGGCTTTCTTTATTCTTTGTTAAATAAAGTAAATTTCCTAAGTAATAGGATTCCTTGGTGTTTACGTGACTAAACAATGTGTCAATCAATCATGATCCGGATTAAAATAGTGTTTGGACTCCAACGGAAGTATATAAATTTTCTTTTTTGGCGGTAGGTGGAAATAAAGTTGACACGTAGTTTCGTTTGCTTAGATTTTATTTTTCAAATAAAAGTTAATATTGCCGTAATTTTTCAGTATAATCTAATAATTTTACGTTATTACAATTGTGTTAATGTGAATTGATACAATTAATTTCATTGCCACCTGCCAGCTTATCACACGAACGTCAAAGGGCTTCTAAAAATTACGTCATGTCTCAACTCAATGAAATTAAAACCGCACAAAGCAATCTAGAACAATGTTTTTCCAAAAGAATGGCAGAGCTGGAAGCACAAATTCAATCTGCAGGACCAGCCAAGGATACAGTTGCGAAGGTGGCTGAAGAATTCCGGACGTTTCGGGAGCTGGTGTTCGCTATGCTGGGCATGATTCGTAAGCAGATAAATGAGTGTTCCCATATGATTGACGTTATAGAAACCAAGCATCGTCAGAAGGCTTTAATATTCTTGGGCGCTCCTGAAGCTGATAAAGAGAACTGCAAGACCACTGTTCTGGATATTATGCATAAGATGGGGCTTACCGAAATCACGGAATCTTGCATTGCAGTTTCTCATAGGCTAGGAGTAGCCAGCAAAAACCATCGGCCAATCTTAGTTCGTTTCGTGCGAGTTGAAACCCGATCATTGGTTTGGAGAGCTAAGGCCAAGCTTAAAGGTTCTTCTGTTTCCATAAAAGAATTTTTGACAAAGTCACGACAAGCTGTGTTTGGGAAAGCCCGGCTACATTTTGGTATGCGGGCTTGTTGGACTCAGGATGGAGTTATTGTGGTGAAAGCTGCTGATGGATCCCGCCATAAAATCGTAACCATGGATGAGTTGAGCCCTCTAATGGCAAAATTTCCAAACAAAACTGTTAAAAACTCTGCTGAGAACATGAGCCCGTCTGGGGACGCCGGATCTTCGAGTTCGAGCACCAAAACACGTAAATGATTTCGACTGAGGTTAAAGTTCAAGTTAAATATTTCTTTATCATTTTAAATTTCTGATTCTCAGTGATTAGAGTTATATTTTTCTTGTCATTAGTGCCCATTTTACATTTATATCCGAAGATTAGGTTATTCACTTGTGCACTTATTTTCGCTATTCTTTGTCTTGTGTGAATTACATTACTTAATTAAATTAGTTTATTTCTTATTAGTAAATTATATACCTAAGTTTTCTTAAATAATAAATAATTGTATAAATCGAGATAACTCATAGTATTTAGTTTGTTTACATGATAAATTTTTACTACTATGTAAACTAATGTCAGTTCATTGTGCAACCACAGAGTATAGAGAAATCTCTTCATTTTTCGCACGAGACACGCCTAACGTTCAGATGCTGATATTGTCTATAATAACCTGTGTTCCGTGTTTTTTTATAATGTTATTAACTCTTAACTCATGTGTTATTTTTTTTACAAGTTTATGTGTGTTGTATTATCTATTACATTATTTTTATTTAATGAGTTCAAATAACGATGATTCGTTTTATTCTGCTTCCGAGAATGATAATTTGTCATCTGATGATAGTTTCTGCTCCGTAACGGGTTCGCTTAGTGACCTTGTGCAAAACACCTTTCAACAGTCGAACTTAACGTTTAACGTATGCCACATTAACGCACAAAGCGTGCCAAGTCACTATAGTGACCTGTATGAGGTTTTCTTTAAAGCTAACGTTCATGCCATTCTGATTTCAGAAAGTTGGCTCAAACCCCCTCTCCTATCAACTTCATATCGCCTTCCCGACTTCACCCTGATACGTAACGATAGAATCGACAAGAGAGGTGGTGGTGTTGCTATATATCTCCGAAGTTATTTTCAATACAAAATTTTAGCTACATCAACTTATCCCTCATCTTCAGAATTTATTTTTCTTGAAGTTTGCATAAAAGGAGTTAAATGCGTTCTTGGTGTAGTCTACTGCCCACCGTCTGTCGATTACTTCTCCAGTTTTGAAACAATTCTGGAATCTTTAGGATCGGATTACATACATCACATCATTATGGGCGATTTTAACACCGATCTCTTGGTCCCTTCACCTCGTTCCTCTAAATTCCTTCGTATTGTCGAGTGTGCTAGCCTTCACATTCTGCCTTTAAACGCCACTCACCACAATTTGAATGTCGAAGACACTTGGCTCGACCTTATCCTTACTTCATCTCCTTCCCTTGCTTCCATTTATGGTCAATATCCCGCACCGGCTTTCTCCCATCATGACCTTATTTACCTCTCTTACTTCCTTAAACCACCAAAACCTATTCCTAAGACCCTCAATATCCGTTCTTTTGCTCGTATGGACATAGGAAGACTTCGTAAAGATGCCTCAAATTTAAGGTGGGATAATGTGATTGCCGCCGACACGGTGGACGAAAAAGTCAGTTTATTAAATAGTGCCGTTCTCAGACTATACAATGTACATGCCCCTATTAAAACCGTCAAACTTAAGCGTCCACCAGCACCATGGATTACAACAGGCATACGTATGGCGATGAGACGTAGGGATAGGGCTTTTCGTAAGTACAAAAAGTTTCGCTGTGTTGACAATTGGACACTGTATAAGGTTGCTAGGAATCGGTGTAACCAGATGATACGGGATGCTAAACGCCGATATATCCATGATAACATAGTTTCTTCTTCACCCGCTGATATCTGGAAGTACCTTGGGACTATCGGAATCCGCAAAAAATCACAGTATGATTATATGAGTTCAATGGATCTGGATGATATCAATCGTTACTTTGTGTTGCATACACCAATCGATATTCAAATCAAGCTTCGCACTATCGAGGAATTAAAGAACTTACCTCGTCTTAATATTGACCCCTTTAATTTTTCTCCAGTTGCTGTGGATGAGGTCAAGAAGATTATCCTTTCTATCAAATCAAATGCGGTAGGTTGTGATCAAGTGAGCCGCCTCATGATTGTATATATCCTGGATCATCTCCTTCCTATTATATCCCATATTATTAATTCATCCCTTATTTCTGGAGTCTATCCCTTACTTTGGCGCAAAGCTTATGTTCTTCCCTTGCCTAAGATTGCAAATCCTTCCTTGCCCCATCATTTCAGACCTATTTCCATCCTTCCCTTTCTATCAAAAGTACTTGAAGCTTGTGTACACAAACAACTATCTCGGTTTGTCTTCAACAACAACCTCTTAAGCCCTTTTCAATCTGGCTTCAGGCCTGGGCATAGTACAATTTCCGCGCTACTTAAAGTCACTAGTGATATTAGGGCGGGAATGGAGGCCAGTAAAATCACAGTGTTGGTTTTAGTGGATTTCTCTAACGCATTTAATGTCATTAGTCACGACATCCTTCTTTCCATCCTATCCTATTCTATGATCTCACCCACAGCGAGTGGATTGGTTTTCAAGTTATCTTCGAGGGCGTCAGCAGTTAGTTCGCATAAATGATAAATCTTCTCGTTGGAATGACTTAATTGCTGGTGTGCCTCAAGGCGGAATTTTATCTCCTATGTTATTTTCTTATCACTCAAAATCTTCAATGCTCGTATCACCTATACGCCGATGACTTACAACTTTATTCGCAGGCCGATGTTGATTGCTTATCTATAGCAGTGGGTAGGATTAACAGAGATCTAGAGCATATAAAATCGTGGGCCAATAGATTTGGTCTCTTTGTTAATGCCGCTAAATGCCAAGCAATAATTATTGGTAGTCGTCGAATGCTTAACAAGGTACAAACAAATGGTTTACCTCCAATTGTATTCAACGGCACCGTAATCCAACCAAGCTCATCGGTAAAAGATTTCTTCCCTTGATCGATTATGGTGATGTATGCTATTCTGATCTGAATGCAGATCTACTCAACAAATATGACCGTCTTCTCAATAACTGCATTCGATTTGTTTTTAACCTTCGTAAGTATGACCATGTGTCTGCTTTTCGGTCTCAACTTAATTGGCTTCCCATTCGTCAACGCCGTTGTTTGCGCATGCTCACTACACTTCATTCCATATTAACCTCTCCCAATCCCCCTTCCTATTTGATTCCCTTTATCCAATATCTTTATTCCAATCATGACAGAACCCTTCGCTCCTCTAATAATCTCTTGCTTCAATGTCCCTCCTACAACTCTAGTTTTATGTACTCTTCTTTTCCCGTTCAATCCATTCTCCTTTGGAATGACCTTCCGTATGACATCAGGAAGACCACTGAACGTATTGCTTTTAAGAATAAGATAAAAAAACTATATCTAAGTAAGTTGGCAGAATGAAATAATCAGTAGTTATTGATATCGTATATTATTTATTTATGTATATTTATTAAGTATTTGTGAATATTATAGTATATGTATTCTATTTTGTATGCTTAAATAATGTAATATATTTTTGTTATATTGGGTTTAATATGTTTATATACTATATATATTTTCATGTATATGTCTTAAATTTATGTATATATGAATATATATATAACTTTTGTTTTAAATTAAAATTTGGTTTGAAACTTTTTACACCTGCCTCTTTTGTCTCTGCGTCGCCCATAGGTTGACTGGTAGAGAATGCCTTAGGCATTAAGTCCGCCTATACACAATACTAATTTTTTTTTGTGTAAAAGTTTAAATAAATAAATAAATAAATAAATAAATAAATTACTCACCGATACGAAGGAATGAAACGATTTTAAGAATTCTCCTGTCTGAGTATAATTTAAGTGTCATCAAGGCGATGGTATATAGTAATTTTGACTTAGTGCGCTTAATAACTAAACTACTTTACTATATACCATCAGGTGGGTAGTCAAGCACGGCCACGCTATTAGATAAAAAAACCAACAGGTCGATTTTTTTCTTAACGAATAACAAAAACGAATTCAAATATCTCGCTCTGTATTCATTTTATAATTGATTTTCAGGAGTTCCCTAAGTATCTCCGGAGCCCAAGATCCAATACCAATGAAATTAGTATGGGACCACATTGGATCCAAATCGGTTCTCTGAATCGAAAGTCCGAGGTAACAAACATAAAAAATACGGTCGAATTGAGAACCATTTTGGAGTCGATTAAAAAGAAAATAATTAATGTAAATTTTACGTCGCACATCAGCCGAACAAAGAACACTGAATGATAAGAATACGAAAACAAAGACTTGTTGGTAGATAAGAAAATCAATACAGGGGGAGGGTAACGTAAAACCATAACCGGCTTCTCATTCCTACGCTGTAACACTGGAAAATTCAAGCCGAAGTCAGCGATATCCTGCTAGAGAACTATCTCAACACGATACAACTTCCGGACCAAACATCAACGTAATAAAAGGCGGCACGTCCCAAGACGACGTTACCTTTGTTTACGTGCTCACAGCCCCTCGACGGCTTCATGACGGGCGGCGAGTGAAATATGTAGGCAACGCGGTCGACGACCCAGCGCGGACGAGCTGACTGCGCTCCATTAAATAAACATGTGCACGTTGTGCATGTCAATACTGGTACTGCATAAGACTAGTATTGGCACTGGACTGTCAATACACTAGAGGTAATGACATAAGTCAATTTATCACAGTCTTATGCCATACTTTCCAAGTACAAATGATGATACGATACAGAAAATAGAATTTTCATTATAATTTTCTTGAGCCTAGTACTTTTCAGTCTCCGAGCGCTCACTTTAAATCAAGTAGTCTCGAATAATCTAAAATTCTAAATCAAACCTATTTTTTCTTTCTGTTTTTTTTTTATGTAAGAAAGTGGCAAACGAGCTGGCGGTTTATCTGATGTTAAGTGATAACCGCCTGCCCATGGACATTTACAACACCCATAGGGTTGCAGATGCGTTACCACCTATGTATTTGTTAACTGCATTATAACTTGAATGAGTCTTGACTTATCACTTTCAGGTGACGAGAAAAATGCATACTTAAATGTATAATTAAATTTGTATTATAATTATCTGCATATTACATCTGCCAGTGCATTGGAG